TTTTATAGATTTTTCATTGACTATATATATATTCTTTTACCTAAAATAGTGACTGTTGTTTGGTTATAAAATAGTTTTTAATGTTAGACTAATCATACAAAGGAACCATCTAAAAACATGTTTTAAAGAATATTTTATGAATTCCGCAGAAATAATCAAAGAGCATCTAGGGTCACAGATTCTGGTATAGCGGGCTGCTTCTCCTCTGTGACTTCAGTTGAATCTAGAAAGAAAAGTACTTCTCTGAGCGAGTTCACCGAGGCCACCGGGTTCTTGCCAGGCTCTAGGGAAACCTGTAGGTTGAGCATCTTCACCCCGAGTTTGCCTCGACTAAAGCGAGCACAGCCGCGGAGCCAGCGCCGGGTGTACTCCAGGCAGAGGAGGGGCAGTGGGCGTCCGGCGGTTGCCTGGGCGACGTGGCGGCTCTCACCCCGCGGGACCTGGGAGCTGACCGGGTAGGAGCTCGGAAAGAACTAGCTTTCGGGAGCCGGTGTTAGAGTGGCTCGGGTGGCTGGATGACTGGTCCTGCGGAGGATGTGGAGTGGGGTGGGAGGTGGGGCCCCAAACGGGGGAAGGCTGTACCGGGGGCGTGTACCCCTCCACGCCCCCGGTACAGAAGGCTTAGGAAAGGGCGGGACTGGGCCCCGAGGTAAGCCCGGTGGAGGGTGTGGCCTGGGGCTAGGGCGTGGCCTGGGGGAGCTACCAGAGCGCACCGATGGGGGCGTGGTCTCGGGGGGAAAAGCGGGGTAGGGGCGTGGCCTAAGAGAAGAGGAGCCTGGGGGCGTGGCCTCTGGTGAAGAAGGCTCTGGGGGCGGGTCTCTGGGCGTGGCATGGGGGCATGGCCCAGGGGAAGTGGGCGGTCAGGGAAGGCCCCAGGGGAGCGAGCTTGAGGGCGTGGCCTTGAGGGCTGCCAGGGGGCGTGGCCTGAAGGAGTGGGCGTGGGGAGAGGCTCCGGGAAGCGGGCTCCGGGGCGTGGCCTTGGGAAGTGGGCTTTCAGGCAAAGCCCTGAGGGGAGCGAGTGGGAGGCGTGGCCTTGCTGGCTTGGGGAGTGGCTCTGGGGAGCGGGTTCGGGGGCGTGGTCTTGAGGAGCTTGGAGCTGCGCGGGCAGGGGAATCGGCGCCGCTCTTTCAGCCCTGGCGGCTCGGCGCGGAGTCTAGCGAGCTCTGGACTCGGCGCTAGAGCCGGCGCTGGGGCGCAGGGCGTCTTGGATACGCTGGCTTTGGAGCGCTGGTGGAACCGGGACCGCTGAGGTGAGGTTGCGCAGGGGCCACTCGCCTCTGGCCGGCGGGCGCCAGACGGGGCTTCTGGTGGGCATCGGGGAGGCTCTGAGCGCCAGGGGACGGCCTCGGGCTCGGGAGGGTGTCCTGCCCCCAGCTCCGGCTCCTGGGCGCGCCCGGGCTGCTCACCTGTTGGGCCGCTGTGTGTGCCCTGCCTGGCAGCGGTTGCTGGTGCCCTGGGCTCGCCCGGGGAAGGGCGCGCGTGTTGCTCTTGCTGGTGCGCTTCCAGCAGGACCGGTCAGGGATTACCCTGAAACTCTACCCCGCGCTCGCTGCCCCTGGGGCCGCCTGCCGTGCTGCGTCGGGACGGCGGACAAAGGTTGGCGACCAGTGGCCCCCCTGAAGGGTCCCTTCCTCCCGGAGGGCGTGACCTGTGCGTGGAGGGGACAGGGAGAGGATGCAGTTGGAGCACTTGGCTTAGAAAGCAAGTATCTTCCCAGGTCCCTGCTAAGATACATTCCAGAAGAAACACTTCGGGACACGCTGTTTGTTGTCACTTGATTGAGGAGAGTGAGTTGGCAGAGTTGGTTTGGCTCCATTTCTGTTTTAGGATGCGGGGAATTGCTATATTGCTGTATCAGCCAGTCAGTCCTCAGAAGGTAGCATTGCGGCCAGGCGGACTGTGGTGCCGGCGTTCACCCATCTGACTGCAAAGTTACAGAGTCTGAGCAAATTTTCTCTCCAAGTGCAACGCAATGCCACCCCCCCCCCCCCCCCCCGCCCCAAGCAAGCAAACAAGCAAATCCTCCATAACCAAACACAAGCAAGCAAAACTACTGTAGTTGCTTCCTAGCCTTGGGATCTTCGTACTGATAACTAGAATAGTAATTTGAATTTATTTACCGCTTGTTACCAAGGCTTCCCAGGCTCATAGCCCCCCTCTCCCCCACGGTTTGCTCAGCTCTTCACCTCATTTTCGGTTGCCTAGTGTTTTCTAACTTATTCAGCCCTCCGGATCGCCTAGTATTTTGCGCTTTTTTAATCCTACTTTCAAAGCATGAAATTTCACCGCTTACTTTTTTTTACCTTTTTTCCACCGGTTTCTTTTTCCACCTTTCCTAACAAATGCCTCCTTTCCCTTTCTGTCCTCCCTTTTCAAACTTCCTCACTGCATTGTTCTCCGGGTGTGGGTTAATTATGCACCCCACCATGTGCTGCTGAATCTTGTTCCCTGCCCCTCCCCCCGTCCTCTAGAGCTGGTGGGCCTGTTTCTTCTCATCCAATGTTCTAATTAATTTTCACCCACCTCTCAGGCTCCCTAATTTGCCATCTTTCTCCCACCCTGGTCAGTGAGCCTCTCCTTTATTTGGGACCTATGTATGTACCCATGCCTGCTGGTTCCTTTCCAGCCTTCTTCCTTTTACCTGTTTGTCCCTGACAGTGTGCTTCACCCAGCTGCAGCTTGCCACTGCTTGTGTTGGCTCTCACAGCTTGCTTGATCCCAGACTCCTCTTTTTTTTCTACAGGCCAAGGGCATACCTAGGTTCTTTTCCTCCTTTGCAATCGGCCCTGAGTTACCTTGCAGACATCTTTTTTTCCCAGAAAGTCTGGAATTATCAGGAGAGTTTGCTGCATGTCCACAGGAGCATCCTGCCTGGCTTGCAGACCTCTCCATCTGCCACTGTGTCTGTGTCTATTAAAGTAGAATTGTACATGCAGTCCTAGAATATTATTATCAGCATTAATGTGATGATTACACAGCATTTATTGAACACTTACTGTGTGCCAGGCCTGTTCTGAGGCCCTGGCACATAGTGATTCTCCTTTAAAATCCTCCTCACATCCTTGTAACAGAGGTTCACTGTCCCATTTTACGTAGGAGGAAAGCAAGGGCTCAGAGAAGGTAAGAAGCAGAAGCAGACAGGTTCTCATGGCTGTGTAATTGATGGAAGTACTGTTCTCCTGGGTCCATGTGATTTCTTGCACTCTGGCAGGCCTGATGCCCAGCGTTGGAAATGAGGTCATTATTTGACGTGTCTTATTTACTTTGAGGATATGCCAGTTGAGGGCACAAAGTCTACTCTTGTAGGACAGTGCTAGGGAAAAACCAAATGTCTGGTGTCCTTCAGAAAATCTGGGATGTCCCTTCATCCACTCCTTTAGCCTACTTTCCCGCTTTGCCAAAGCAGGAAAGAAAGTGTCATAAAAAAGCTCATTGCTAACTGACTCCTATGTGTTAAGTTCAGTTTCACTTTAGCTGAATGGACCTTGGGGGTCTCAGAGAACCATGTTGTTTCATGAATTTTTTATTTCTATTTCATTATATGGTCTTAAAGTCTTGATTAGATATTTCTGGGCTAGTCTTTACTTCCTAAGAGTGGAAGGCAAGTTATTTCTTTTATTTATGCTGGAGTAGAGTGGTGGTGAAGTTATGGACTTTGATAGCTGGAAGAGCCCAGAGATATAAAGTGACAGATGCACAGGGAAGCAGGGAGCACTAGAGCTGGCCCCAGAACCCAGGATTGGGACCTGGCCCTGCACCTTGGTGCACCTTCCATTTTCCAAACTCAGAGTGGAAATCATCTGTAGTTTTCTTTCTTGCTTGCCTTAAACATTTACTAAAAAATGTTTGCTTTTGAGATGTAATGGCATAATTTGGATGTAACATTACAGAAGTATAAATCCAGGTTTTTTAGGAAAAACAATTATTTCCAGAGTGCCAGGAAGGAACATCCAACGTACATGTCTTTCTAGAGGCAAAACACATAGGACATGGGAATTTCGGTATGTGGAATGTTTCTCTTTTTCTTTTACTGAGAGAATTTCATTAGTACAAAGAATATACACGATTTTCTTTACGCATCTTAAAGGAAACAGCAGTGAGGGACAACAGGGCAGAGGCAGAACAGCTGCTCTTTTTGTTTTGTTCTCTGTATGTCCAAGCCTTTCTTGGGGTTCCTAGTCCTCTGCACTGATTCCCACCCTCTTGTAGAGCCTCAAGGGCTCTGATTTCCTGTGATGATCATCTTCAGAAAGGATAGAATTCAACCCTGCTACCCAGTGTTCATTGTATGTCAGGACTTCCCAATCTGTCTGTTGGTGTGCAGGGTGACCATGAGCTTCTTGGGAGGAGGGAGGAAACATCTGTGCAGGTCATCTGTGGACTGTGATTCAGACAAGCAGTTGCCTGGGTTTTACTGCTCCCTAAATGGAGTCTGGAGGTTCAGGGAGGCTGCCATGCCCAGAGCGCCATTGTCAGCAGTGAGACAGATTTGAATCCATGGCGGCCTGGCTCCATAGGGCCATGTGCGTTTTTCTACATATCTGTGATTATAACCTGCATCCTCCAGAGCAAGCATGCTACCACAGAACCTTTTCCAGGGTAAATGGCTCCTGCTGGCTGAGCTGAAGAAAGCACAAGTCAGAGGAGCAGGGCCCATGAGCATGAGGACCCACAGGGACCCTCATGTCCTGGCTCTGCCAGAGTGTGGGTGACACTTGCTATGCCTCTGAGCACCTCTGGGAGCTGTGGCAATGCAGCAGAAGCTAAGATTGGTGCATGCTTTTTTGTGTAGTTTGGTGATTTGCTGTGTTTGGGATGTTTCACATTAGTAGACACAGGAAATGCTGTCATTCTCTGGTGTCCCAGAGAAAAGACTTGCCTCCACTGTGGAGCATCTTGAAGATCTTGGTTTCCTGACCAGGGAACAGGGCCACATATATCTCAGAAACAGTACTTGGTGCCTTTGTGGGAAACAAGGGGCTCAGACTCTGCTAATTTCAGGGACCACATACCTGCCTCAGAATTTTCCCCATCTACCTCACAGAATTCGGGAGCTTGAAGAGAACTTTTATACCTCATCAGGTAGAGGACTAGCCTTTCCCCCTAGACCCCATGAATGAGGTGACAGAATAGGTTTCCTAAGACTGGCAAAACATCCCTGGAGAGGGATTGGAGACTGGCTTGAGAAGTCCAGTGGGATTTATTTGGAAGGGAAAGACCTGAGAGATCTCTGAAAGCATCTTCCTTAGGCCACCAAATTACCTGATCTCCTGTCCTCTCTCAGCCCTTCCTAGTTACCACTCCAAACCCATGTACTCCTAGTGTATGTGGTAACTTCTGAAGCAGAGGCAAGGGAATGTTGAGACCAGGCCTAATGTCTGACAGTACTAGGTGGGCAGCCTGCAGTGAGACAATCCCAGTATTACAGCTCCAACCTCTGATGGCAGTCTTAAAAGATGCTGTACCATGTGATAATTACAGTGGGTGGTCTGTTGCACTTGAGTGCAATTCTGTTGCAGTTCTGTTTCATTAAACAAGTTTCTGAGGACACACACACACACACACACACACATATACACACACCAGTATAGATAAAGAGCTCTTGCATCCCAAACAGCTTGCAGCTTACACATGTACTTCTAAGTACATCTGTGTGGGTTGGGACTTCTCAGTAGCAGAAGAAAAATAACCTCTGCTTCAGAAATGTGCTCTGTCGTGGGGACAGAGTCCTCTCCTGTAACTCCTCAGCTTTATTCTAACCCATCATGAATGACAGCACAGTGGGGGCCTCATGGGGATTTGCAGCTACTGCTATCACAGGTCTGTGTGGTCCTACTGTCCGTGCTGGTTTGCAGGGACTGGAGTGTACCTAACATGTATTGGATGTTGTTTATGGACAGTGAATTTCTTAGAAACAGCCTGTTTTCATGAAGAGGCTCGTGTTCTTGTATGAGAGGAGAGGCGAGTTTGAAAAACTAAGTAGTGAGAAGCACCATGAGTGTGCTGGTCAGTTATGAAGAAGGGTATTAGACTCCTGAGAGCTCTAAAACCTGGGAAGGCCTTCCTGGAGATGAGGTGCAGGCTGGCTGGCAAGGGTTGGGAGCTGACAGAGTCCTGAGTTCTAGCCTCAGGGTAACATAGAGACAGGGACAGGAGGTAACTTCAGGTTGGTGACCAGGAGCCCACAAATAGTTTCATATGGCTGCTTGTCCCCATCATTGTGACTGATTCTATAATCTAAGATGTGGGG